GTTTGTTCTTTATTTATATGTAGTAAATTGGCCTTCCATTTTTGTTATGAAGCTTTCTCCTTGGTAGTTCCTTGATCAGGGTATTAGTTTCTCCTTGACTGTTTGTCTAATGTTAATCCATGCTTATCAGGGTATTGATTTCTGGAGACAATGCTTTCTGGTCTTTTATTTCCTTCTTAGCTTTTTTACTGTCTCTATATATCTATATTTCCAAGAAAAAAAAATGGATATAGAGAAATACAATAGTAAAACAAAGTTTAATAGAATAGTAAAGTTAAACACATGAATTATTTATACTCTAGAAATGTTTAGAATGTCTACAAGTTCAGCTGCATAGTTTTGGCTAAAGTAATATTCTTCACTCCGGTATTCTTTTTCACACTTCGTTGCAGATTTCTGTTTGAAATTATTAAGCAGCATATTTTAAGCATATTTTCCCCTAGGCTCATGTGGCAAAAGCCACTCAATCTTGGGAAAATATGTATTTGGCTGAAGGTGATTCTGACAAGTGCTACATCCATACCCACAATTGCTCCAGATCATATATTGCCTTTTGAAATTTTATAAGAAATAAAATCTTGGGAGAAATAGATGAATGGAATTTGCACCATAGGAAAAATTTAGACATAAATGTGTCTGGGTGAAAATGGGTAAAAACAAAAAAAAAAGCCATTAGAGCAGATGTGGATACCAGCTACCAGAAATAAAAATTGCTATGCGGCAAATAATAATAATAATAATAATAATAATAATAATAATAATAATAATAATAATAATAATAATAGTTGGAAGGGACCTTGGAGGTCATCTAGTCCAATCCCCTGCTGCAGGAAACCCTATACCATTTCAGACAAATGGCTGTCTGTACTCTTTCTAGAGTCATGGTGACCAAAACTGAATGCAGTATTCCAAATGTGGCCTTACCAAGGCATTGTAAAGTAGTATTAACACCATGTGATCTTGATTCTATCCCTCTGTTAATGCAGACTAGCACTGTGTTGGCTTTTTTGGTAGCTGCAAGACACTGCTGGTTCATATTTAAGTGATTGTCCACTTGGATTCGAGATCCCTCTCACAGTTACTACTATTGAGCAAGGTACCACCTATACTAACCTGTGCATTTGGTTTTTCTTTACTAAATGTAGAACCTTACTTTTTTCACCATTGAATTTCATTTTGTTAGATAGACCCCAGTATTCAAGTCTGTCAAGATCCTTCTGTATTTTAAGCCTATCTTCTGGAGTGTTGACTATTCCTGCCAGCTTGGTGTCGTCTGCAAATATGATGAATTCCCTATCTATCCCGTCATCCAAATCATTGATGAAGATGTTGAAGAGAACTGGGCCCAGAATGGAGCCCTGGGGCACCCCACTACTCACTTCCCTCGATGTAGATGCAGTTTTATTGAGGACTACACACAGAGTAACGGCCGGTCAGCCAGCTACAAATCTATCTGGTGGTGATGCTGTCTAACCCACATTTTTCTATCTTATCAAGTAGTAGGTTGTGATCTACTTTATCAAATGCCTTACTGAAGTCCAAGTAAATTATATCCACAGCATTCCTCTGGTCCACTAATTTTGTCACTTGGTCAAAGAATGCAATAAGATTTGTCTGGCGTGATCTGTTTTTCACAAACCCATGTTGGCTTTTGGTAATGACGTTGTTTGCCTCTAGGTGTTCACTGATTCATTGCTTGATTATCTTTTCTAGAATCTTCCCAGGTATTAAGGTCAGGCTGATAGGTCTGTAGTTTCCTTGATCCATTTTTCCCCTTTTTTGAAGATGGGAACTACATCAGCTCTTTTCCAGTCCTCTGGTAGTTCCACAGTGCTCCAGGATCTTTGGAAGATATGGTTCAATGGTTCTGAGATCACATCTGCCAGTTCCTTGAGAACCTTGGGTATAATCCATCTGTTCCTGGTGATTTGAACTTGTCTAGGGTAGACAGGTGCTCACTTACCATTTTCTTGCCTATCTTAACTTGGGTTTCTAATCTGTTTTTTATGATACAGTTTTTGATAGGTTTTACTGTTTTTTCCCTTTGTGTAAAGACGGATGCAAAAAATGATTTAAATAGTTCTGCTTTCTCCCTGTTGTTTGTCACCTTCTTGCCATTTTGTCTCACTAATGGACCAATCATTTCATTAACTTTTTCTTGTTTTTTATTTATTTATTTATTTATTTATTTATTTATTTATTAATTATTATTATTTTACATGTTGAAAGAAGCTTTTTTGTTATTTTTGATTTTTGTCGCAAGCCTTAGTTCATTTTTAGCCTTAGCTTTCCTCACTTCATCTTTGTAGGCTCAAGTTATTTGCTGATATTCTGTCTTAGTTATATGCTCCTCTCTCTCCACTTTTTATACTTGTACTTTTTGTCTTTCAATTTATCAGAGAGTTCTTTATGTAGCCATGCTGGTTTCTTTTGAGAGCTGTTATTTTTCTTCTTCATTGGTGTTATGCTAGACTGGCCTTTTGTAATCTCACTTTTCAATATTTCCCAAGCTTCTTGAGCTGTTTTCCCCTTGAGGATTCTCATCCATGGAATCCTTCCCAAGCTCTCTCTGGGTTTATTGAAATTAGCTGTCTTAAAGTCTAAGACTCTAATTTGTCTGTGTTCTATTCCTTGTGATTGCATAATGTTGAATTCCAATATTGCATGATCATATCAAAATCAGAGAAGGTCTGGAATGTCAACTATCTAATAACAAACATCATGCTAGGTCATATAACAGTCATGTAATGGTTAAGAAAAGGCTGAAGTGACCCAGAATGGAATATGTTATCTTCACCATGACAAAGAATAAAGGGATAAGCTGTCCAAGGTCTGTGATGGAAGATCCCCAATGATCATCTAAGGAGTCTTCCCCAACATCCATGCCTTTCCTGATCAGTACTGTAATGGGCAAACAAATATGAGTATTTGTAATGCTTAAGCAATTCTAATAAATTGCTTAATAAATTGTGACAACCCCTCAAGTACCGAAAGATTGATATCATATCACTTCTAGTCCTTCTGTTTGTTAAACTAGACATATCTAGTTACCTCAATCATTTATCATATACCTTAGCTTTTCGATCCCTTATTTATTGTTGTTGCTGTTATTTGCACTCTTTCTAGAGTCTCAAAATATTTTTTGGTATTGTGGTAACCCGAACTGATCACAGTAGACCAAGTATAGCCACACCTGTGCAGTATAAAACAGTACAATCACTTCACATTATCTTGAAACTATCGTTTTGTAGATGCAACTTAGGACCACATTAGCTTTTTTGGCAGTTGCAACACACTACTGGATTATACTTAAATGGTGGTCTTCTGGAACTCCTAGATCCCACTCACAGTTGCTACTGCTGAGCAAGTATACTTGTACATTTGGTTTTTTTCCCCCAAATGTAGGACCTTACATTTCTCACTACTGAATTACATGTTGTTGGATAGGGACCAACATTCAAATCTGAATCTTGAATCTATCTTCTAAAGTGTTACTTATTCCTCGCAGGTTGGTGTTGTCTGTAACTTTGATGAATTCCACCATCTATCGCCTCATCTAGATCATGTTGAAAAGTATTTGGCCTAAAACAGAATCTTGAAGTATCCCACTCCATACTTCCCTCTATGTAAATCTAGTTCCATTGAGGACTACCCACTGAGCATGGTTGGTCAGCCTGCTGAGAATCCATCTGTTGGTGGTACTCCCTATTCCACATCTTATCAAGAAATAGGCAATAGTCAATTTCGTCAAATCCTTACTGATGTCAAAGTATACTGTGTCCACAGAATTTCCCTTAGTCACCAATTCAGTCACTTTGTCAAAGAATGCAATAAGATTTGTCTGACATGGTCTGTTTTTGACAAACCCATGTTAGCTTCTAGTAATTGTCTTGTTCATTTTAGGTGTTTACAAATGCACTGATTATCTTTTCCAGGATTTCCCCTAGATATTGATGTCACTCTGCTTGGTCTGTAATTTCCTGGATTTGGTCCCCCTCCCCCCCTTTTTTGTAGATTGGAGACACATCAACTTTTTTCCTTTGATATTTCCCCGATGCTCCAGAAGCTTTAAAATATTTTGTTCAATAGTTTCAAGATCATGTCTGCCAGCTCCTTCAGATACCCTGGGATATAATCCATCTGATCCTGGTGATTTGAACTTGTCTAGAATGGATAGGTGTTCTCTTACAATTTTCTTGCCTAATTTTGACTTGCATTCTGATTCTGTCTCCTATGGTACTGCTTTTGATAGGTTGGACAATTTTTGTGTGTGTGTGAAGACAAATGCAAAGAATTTATTTGTTTAATTCCAGAGTAAGGAGAAAAAGTAAAATAAAATTCTTCAATTTATAATTTACTTTTCCTTACTTCCTGTAATAAATTTTAGAAAGAAATGATGCTGTGCATTTAACTAATAGTAGAAAAATCCAGAACATCTATTAATAAAGCCCTTGGGAAAGTCTTTCTATTGAATTAAATAACATGGCTAACAGCACCTGTCTTGGGTTAGTTTTAAAATGAACAGAAATAGAGAATATAGGAAACCTATTAGCATAAATATCTACTTTTTAACAACCTTTTTATCTTCAGCCATCATTAGCTGAATGAACTGCTGACAACATCAGTATAAAGCCCTGAGCTTTTTTTTTTAAATTGTTTTATAAAGCCCTGAGCTTTAAAGAAAATTGCAATATCCCATTTTCTGATGAAAGAAAGAAAGAAAAAAAGAAAAAAGGAGAAAGAAAGAAAGAAAGAATTTTATCTTTACTTTATGGAAAAGACTCAAGCATGAAGATTCCTACTGGAATTGCAATAAAAATAGTAAGAAATTGCAAACAAGCTTGTGGAAGTGTCCAGCAAATATTCTGATGCTCAGACACATCCACAGTTACAGTCCAGCAGATCTGTTGAGTCAAACACATGCAGGATAACTATGCAGAATAGCAGTTCTAGGTATTTTCTCATCAAGCAGGAAAGGTAAGTATCATTTTAAAACTTACTGTGCTGGCAGTGTATTCCATTAAATCCAGCAGGACATTTGCAGCTGTAGCCTATGAATGTGTCTCCTCTGTAGGCTTCACTGATTTCACATGTTCCACCATTATGGCAGGGATTAGGAAGACATGGCCCTGAAAGAATTTTTTAAAAAGACAAATGAAATACTGGATGCAAACAAAACAAAACAAAACCCTCTTGTAAATCTATTTCACTTATACACTAATAAGCTTTTAAGATAAATTGATCAGTGTTCTGTGCCACATTTTTATTGATATATTTTTCAGCTATCCCAGTATATTTGATTTTTTTTTAAAACCAAAGAAGAACAGGCAGAAAATAGGCCTCTGATACTTTATCTGAAAGGTGGTTGAGAAATTTTTAGATCAGGAAGTGGGGGTGGTCAGTTTCAAGGCTGGGACAATTCCCCAACGCCCTGGATGAAATTCATAGAGACCTTCTATTCTACCGCGATGTAATTTTTAATCTAACATTGCTACTGCTGAAATGATTCACCCTATACATATCGGTCCCCAAGGCCTCTTTGAAACAGCCACATTTTGATGGCTTTCCTTAATCTGCAGTTAGATAAAGTCAAAATTTTGGCTATAACCTCAAGGATATACCTCTAGTATAAACTATTGAATTAGATAAAGAACAGAATGGGAAATCCATGGGCTTTAGGCTAAGTGTTAGATTAAATACTATTTACTAAAATTATACTACCTGGGGCATAACTGTAGGTTAAAGGCATCTATTCTAGTGTGAGAATTAAAAAAAAAAGCTAATGAGAATTTTGGAATGGCTGATGAAGGTTGGGAACAGATGAGGAAGGATCTGCATTAACATATGTTAACAGAATATAGTTAAAGTAATTAACAGTGATAGATAAGCTGTGGCCTTTTCCAGTATGTGAATAATAATAATAATAATAATAATAATAATAATAATAATAATAATAATAATAATAATAATAATAATAATAATAATAATAATAATAATAATAATAATAATTGGAAGGGACCTTGGAGATCTTCTAGTCCAACCCCCTGCTCAGGCAGGAAACCCTATATAATTTTAGAGAAATGGTTGTCCATTCTCTTCTCAAAAACTTCCAGTGTTGGAACATTCACAACTTCTGGAGGCAGGTTGTTCCACTGATTAATTGTTCTGACTGTCAGGAAATTTGACCTTAGTTCTAGGTTGCTTCTCTCTTTGATTATTTTCTATCTTCTTGTCCTGCTTTCAGATGCTTTGGAGAATAGCTTGACTTCCTCTTCTTTGTGGCAACCCCTGAGATATTGGAACACTGCTATCATGTCCCCCCTCGTCCTTCTCTTCATTAAACTAGACATACCCAATTCCAGCAACCGTTCTTTATATGTTTTAGCCTCCAGTCCCCTAATCATCTTTGTTGCTCTTCTCTGTACTCTTTCTAGAGTGTCAACATATTTTTTATATCGTGGTGGGCAAAACTGGGTGCAGTATTCCACGTGTGGCCTTACCAAGATGTTATAAAGTGGTATTAACACTTCACATGATCTTGATTCTATTCCTGTGTTAAAGTGAAGGGATCAGTACATTTAAAGCAAAATTGTTCACATTGATGAATTTCTCTCTAGGCAGGTTTGTTTCCTCTTGAATAAAAAATAATAATAATGACCTCTTCCAAGGCTAAAGTTTTAAAACAGAAAGTTCAGAGAATCCACTGAAGATTGATAAACAGAGGAAGAACATCAAAAAGTATAGACATTTGCTCTGGATCATAAAGCTATTATGAGCTAGCCACTTAATTATAAGCTTATCTGACTTGTGCTATTATACATGGGCAAAATGCAACAATAATGCATTAATCGAATTCTCTGTATTCTTCAAAGTTCAAAGCAAATGTGTAATTAAAGGGTTTTTTTTTTAAAAAAATGAGAGTTATGATCAGTATAAATTTAAAAGGGATGAATACTGAACAATTGCACTATAGTTTTCTAACTGGTGCATAATTCAGTGTGGAATTAGTAAGTAATTAATGCAGCAGTACCACCTGGCAATTTGTAGCTAAGCATATTTCCCACTCTATAACATGAAGCATAAATCGTCACAGGTAGCACAGAATTTGACATATGTAACTTCTTTATTTTTGGGAAAGCAGCTATTGAGTAAAATTCTAAGGGATTCCCTTTCTTAATGTGCAAGTAAAATAAGCAAGTATTCCTTCCATGTATAAAGGAAAACAAAACTTTGAAATAAAACAGCTTCAGGAGATCTGAAAACGTTTATTCTGTTGTTGGAATCAGGACACAATGGCTGTACTGTATTTTATTTATATATATCACAATATCATGCTGTTCCATTTAGAGTAAACAATATTATAACAAGAGCAGAAAAGGAGGAAGAAATAGTAAGGAATTAAGGCATGAAAAATGGAAAAGGGAAGAAAACACAGATAAATCAGATTTAGACAAATAACATTCATCATTCCTATTCATAAACTTCCATTTAGAAAACTATCTTTGCTTTTTACCTTATCCAGGTAAAGTTGAAAAGTTTTAAAACAAAAGGCACTATATGAATTATCATATAGTGCCTTTTGTTTTTAAACTTTCAACTTTACCTTTTTGAGAAACTTACCAGTTCTAAGCAACTGTGAGTTTTTCAGCTTTCCTTTCCTCTCATCTGTTTACTGTATATACTGTAGTGTGTATATGTATTTATATATCACCACACACACACATTTGTTTGTTTGTTTGTTTGTGTGGATTTATGTATATATAGTATATATATAGTATATATATAGGATTCATGTATATATAGTATAGTATAGTATATATATAGGATTCATGTATATATAGTCATTTGCAATTCAGTCCCATTTTTTTGTTTTATATGAGCAAATCTTTTCAATGAATTTTTTTTGTACTGATCTCTTGTCTATGTAATCCACAAAACTCATATTTTTGTTCTTTGGGCAAACATTTATTTCTTGAAGCAAACTACCTGTTACCGCTGCTTTTCTATGCATTTTCATATTAAAATGTTTTATTCCATTTTACCATCTATAGTAAACTTTCTATAAATATGGTCAAATTCTTCAACTTGCTTCTATCTATCTATCATCTATCTATCTATCTATCTATCTATCTATCTATCTATCTATCTATCTATCTATCTATCTATCTATCTATCTATCTATCTATCTATCTATCTATCTATCTATCTATCTATCTATCTATCTATCTATCTATCTATCTAT